GATAAGTCTATTTTTTCTGAACGATTTGTTGCAGTATATTGTACCATGCCCAGCATAGAAGACATTAAAATAAAAATAATCATGTATTTGATTCGGATGACAACGATAAATACCTTTCCTGAAGACGAAGATAATCAACAGTGGGATAGCTACAACCACCGCTACCATGAATACTGCCAGAGCTGAGTGTTTGATGTTTGTGTTTCCTCCTTTCTTGTCTCGTGGAGAAGGACGGGCAAACTCTTCTCGGCCATGGCGGCGCTTGGATCTATAATTGTGTTCGTCACGGCTCACATCATCTGATCGGCTGTTTGACTCCACATATTGCTGAAGAATAGCAACCAGCAGTCAACTAGTAATTTTATAGGTTTGATTTGATTTTATATTAAAACATAGCTCATGCTAATTTGCTAAGATATAAATGCTAATGTTGTTTCCTTCAGATGTTTACCAGCAATGCAATTACACATTAATTAGTGTGCTAAAAAATACTTTCGTTATATAATTTGTATCTTATGCGTTCCGTATACCAACTTTTTGTCATTGGTTGAAAACTAGATTGCGCTAATACGAAACCTTATGGACACCCCACAGAAACCTAAACAATTAGTACGGTTTTGTTGTTAAGTATTCACGCAAACCCAACTTCAGGTTTGCGTCATATTTCAACCTTTCAGAAACTAAAGTGAGTTAGTCGTGATAAAGAAAGGGATTTAACTTTTAGAAAACATAATGTGCGGTTGTGTGTAGTTGTTTTGGGCAGGGGTGTAAGTAGGTGTGCTATTGTGTAGCAGGGTAAAATGTCATGCTAAACAATCGAGTTGTGAAATTTGTTGAAAATTATGTGATGCATTCTGAACGTCTATTTATAAGTCTTGCAAGCAAAAAGAACATACAAACATCTTATAGTTTAACAGTTGAATAGGGTGTATGCCGTAGTATTGCACCGTGTAACAAGTCCGGTGATGCCGTGATACATGTATGATAAGGACTTTATTGACATTGGTTTGTATTATTAACTTACTACACTGCCAGTACGTTTAGGAACACATACTTAGTCGTCGTTATTATCTGTGGGTACCACACTACCATGTGATCTGTTCTATTTTTAACACATCAATCATTTAAAGAAACAACAATGCATTGATCATAGTTCATGTCTGTATAAGTATTACTAAATACGAAATATTTAAGTATTTAAGTACAAATACTTAAACGTTGATCGCACATGCCCATAATTTAATAAATGTATATACCAGTATATGTTGAACAGTATAATGAATAAACATAGTATTTTAGGAAAAAACATATCAGAGAAATGTACGGAAGATATGAACATTTATACAGACCCCAAATATACTTATAAATACTACAGATATAGCTTATTTTCAAATTCTATTTTAAAAGCAGTTGATCCATTGGAGGTCTAACATTCTTTACATTCAAATTACTACAATTTAAAACACTGGATTTCAGCGAGGTTTCAAAAGCAAAATTTTAATGTTGAAACTAGAATTCTTGATGCAATATCAACGGTGCAGAATACATATACAACGTGCGACATTGTGCACACATCTAGGAAACTCTACGTACCGGGAAGAAATACATGTATCGATTGATTCATTCTGGACCCTTAAACGTTCATGTAATATTGTCGATGAACCATGACGTGACCTATCCTGTACTCACCTCCGACCAGTTGGCCTTGGTCCAGTGACGTTTTGAGTTGTATGCCATCATGTTCCAGTGGGGATCCTCAACAGCATATTCATCAGATATGGCATAATTTTCGAACGCCATGCCACTCGATACACTTCTGTCCTCACCATTGTCTCGGACGTACGATATGGGTACATATGATTCATTGCTGTTCTTTCTATCAGTTCGTCCGATATAATCCACATCGGGATCTGAAAAAGTGCATAAAGTTGGATTCATTTTATTTATTTCACAAAGTATTCCATCGTAACTTATATGCACTTTTACATTGTATACAGGATACCAATTGAGTTAAATTAAATTAACGCGGCAGACAGGTGACTGAACTGTGGAGTTTAACCTACAAAATACATTCTCACAGTTATTAACAATGGTCAGTAAAAGAGTTGATCAAGAAAATGTTGAGTGATCAAGTATTTACGGACCTCGTGTTACAATTTTTGACACAATTTTTTTAATTTATTTTTTTACTTGCTTTCATATACATACAAAGTTAATTATGGACTCAGGATGAAAAGAAACTACAAACGCAGATATCAATCTTTTATATTGTCATTGAAATTGAAAACTAATTATTCTTTATTATTCTGAAAACAGGTAAGTGTTAATAACAAACATTATAATAGCCCAATGTGTCTTAGTCGGAAGAATGTATCCTATTTTAATAACATTGATGTTTTAAGGGAATGCATCGTCGTTGTTCCACTCTTATTCAATCTATGGTGCCACAGGGACGTCAGGATGAGAGGAAGGGCAAACGTAAAAAGTGGGATTTAATAAAAGTATGATAAATATTGCATCGTGAACATTGGTTTTACACTGCAGAATCTCAATTTTATTTTAGTAAGAAAAAATTACAATAACCTTAATTTTGACATCGAAATCCAGACAATCCAGGCTGACAGAGAAACTGGACAAGGAATCAAGTGAGGAAGTCTTTCAGGAACCCCGAAAATGTCCTCGTTTTTTCTTTAAAAAGTTGTGAAACCTCTATTTGAGATGAAAAGGTTTGCGACTGTGATCCACGATGGCATACAATGGATTTTTGTATTGACCCCAATGACGTGGGGCACAGCCGACAAGGTTTTAATATTATAGTATATAACAGATACATGTAGGACCATATATGGCGTGCATCAATGAATATGATGTATTTGTGTATTTTGTAATATGTATAGAATGAGGTAAGAAGGTGTGTTTGCCTCTTTAAGATGTTTCAGATCTGTTTTCGACTTAATAGTGTTACCTCCATGAAATTATGCAAAAGGCACCCTGCACATTGTTCCCTTCTGTCTTAATTTACTGGTTAACAAGTTTGTTGCGATTTTCCTCATTTTATTGACTTTGGTGTACCATAGTCTGTGGACAGGACCTTTGTCCCGCCCCATTTAGAGAACGATCAAAATTGCGGTGTTGCGAAAAGAAACTAAAACCTTGTTATATAGAAGGTAGATATAAACACGGAGTCTCCAATGTTGCAAAGGGTACAGCAGATTTACATTGGCCGCTTACTTGTCACCAGGTAGAGGGCACAATGCAAAATTCCGATTCTGCAGTGGGTTTCCACATTAGTTGCCTCTTACAACAGTGAGAACGGAATGTGTCTCATTTTCTCATTACACGACCTTCATAATTACACGACCTACAGGGTGACATTAGTATTGTTTTATAGTGGTACTAAACGATCAACCGAGTGTTTAGCTCAGATACGTTTACTACCAAGATAAATACTAACAGAGATTCATCCTTAATCAATGTGTAAAACTCCTATCAACATGTACCTGTCCAATTGACCACGAACCACCTCAGACAAAATACGATTGCTATCTGTACAAACTTTGACAAATTAATAGCTTTAATTGTTTATCATGACAATGTCCACCGCGTAAAACAAGGTGTTTCTTGTTCACAACCCTGGCTATGTAATTTACCATACACATGGTGCACTCATAAGGAGGTTGCTTATATAAAGCAACAATTTTTTTGTTAAACTACTGAGCATAGTCCTATGTAAGTGGTAGTTATCCTTTGGTCATTGTGAATACAATATACGGAAGCGGCTGGGCACTACAATCTGGAGATTCAGCATTTGTTGTTTAACGCGATATTTAAAAGAATCGTGGTATGAATGGGCAAAACTGAGTTGCAGAGAGAAAATTATTTTAGAAAGAAAAGTGTGTTTGATTCACCGAGACAAGTTTAAAATTTCGCGTATCACTAATAATACTCAATGGGAAATATGTTTAGGATTACAGATAGCCTTTACCTCAGTTTATACATTTTTAATGAAAACAAACGAACATTTCTACATGTAGTTTGTTTTTAATATCATTGAAACTGTATGAATGTAAAAGCATATGAAATGTAAATCATAAGATACTTGCTTGTTTTAGAAGTAAATTAAAATGAAATATCCAAAGTATGTCCTGGAGTTTATTTAACTTACGTAAAGTCGATATTTGATACATTGAATTTTTTTACATGTATGTAATCAAAACATGACGTCAAAACTCTGTATTATATATCATCTATTTATATACATGTACATATGTAAATAAATAAACGAACGTAGTATCGCATTTTATGGGAGGTATACGTGAATAGTCTCGTCATATGAGCAGTCTATTACGTTACGACAGACATTTCTGTAATGCGAGATTGTATCCCCTATTACAGAAAACTGGTATTGTATGCACTATTCATTGTTAACAGTTTCATAGAGACGCCTCTGATTGCGCACGATGTATTCATTATAAGCTCATAAACTTAAGAAAAAAGGAGACTTCCTACTTTATTTTCTCCAGTAGTATAACAATCGGAAATGCCGTGTTCGAATCCCGGTCTAACCTTGCTGATTTTTTCTGCTCAAAAACTGTGTTGTTGATTATATTTTTTTTTTCATCTTTATTATTTCTGATGATATGATTGTCTTATCAGGTAAGATTTATCCAAATTGAGGCCATGCAGACAAAACAGTTTCAACACTTAGTAACAATTTCTAGCGGTGGTACCAGGATCCTGAATTGTAACACATTCTGTCTGTTGGTAAAGTGTTACAAGTATATATCTCTTTGTTAAAACAATTTGAGTCCCCTTGCCAAATGTATTTTTGGACCAAATTCTGTTAAAATAACTCCTTTCAAACTGAATGAAAAGGAATTTAAAGATTTATACAAAAACGTGTTTAAGTGTTACTAGTATATTTCCAACAAGCTACTCTCAACCACATCTTTCATACATAAATTGGTATAACCTGTAAGGCCTTGGTTATTCGCTGATTGTTATCTTATCTGCTTTAGACTATCAATGGTACGAACACCATATTCTTAAAAAATATTTGTCCAACGTGAAAATTGATAACTGGTTTGTCATTATGATGATCAACTAGAAAAAAAGACACTTCATAACAAAAATGTCGGTTTTTAAACGTACAACCGACCTGTCCGATTTTAACATAAATTATTACAACCATTGATTTCAAAACGTAATTTTAAAGTAACCAAGTATGGTATTGTGGTGTCCCGTACGTAAAAATTGAAATTAAATGCCTCGATGCACCTAGAGAACCAGACGTACTAACAAGCATTAGAGGTCGAGCAATAACGTGTTTGCTCGATAAAGACAAGTAGGATATATGTATTTATTATAGTCGAGGTATACCGTCATGTATGTAGTGCAGGTAGTACAGGTGTATTAGTGTCCGGATATGAGGCCAAGGTGACACAGGTAGCCGCGTGAGGCGAGACGGGTAACCGCACGTGTTTGTATTTCACTTACTTTAATAAAATGGTTGACCGTCGAAGGCCACTCCCATACATAGGTGTTGAGTTTTATATGATAATTGCTTTATGTTCGGTTGAACATAGTGAATTAAAATCATAAGTATATCAGGCTTTAGACATTGCATTCTAATGACAAGATAGTAACAGCATACATAAAGCATACTATATACCAACGCAGAACGGATTATAAATTAATGTACAAACATTGAATGACCTATGTAATAAACTTTATATTTCAAGCAACATAAATGACATGCAATCTTAACGTTTAAATATATGTCTTGTCAAGCTGTTGCACCAAAAACGAGTCATACTTTAATTCAAATACTTTAACACGTGTGATTTTATCTTTATTTTTATAAAATCATATAAGATCTTCCGGGTCGGCTTCAGGTATATTGGCTCCCCGATATAACATTGGCCTCTGACACGTTTATTAGATTACATTAATCGACATATTATAAGTGACTCCTATTGAAAGTAACCATGGAACCTGAAACGCGTTTATGGATGGTATCACAAACTGAAATTTAATGATGCCCTTATGCTTAGACCTGATTATGATCAATAAACGTAATGTAACATAAAATGAAATAAAAGTGATGCAGTGAGTAACAACTACATGGCTTTAAAGACAATGAAACAGAAAAAAACAAAACATTTAATGCACATGCATGGTTTGATTTGAAATCTCATTAGCGAAGCTTGAGACAAAAACGACTGGCTCTCCCACGACCTGTTGGGGAGAAAGCTGCGGTCATAACGGCTAGATACGTGGTAATAAACCTCCTCAACATAACAGTCTGTATAGAAGTCCTCTGTCATTGAATGGAATCAGCTGAAAAACGATATATCACGTCACTCTATACATAGGCAATTACCTTCTCAGGTGACATGCTTTGCATTGTGAAACAAGGCACCTTGTATATATAGCACTACCGACAACGCAATTTTGTATATAGATAAAGACATATTCAGTACACATTTAGGCAAGGAATGCAAATAATTGGGCAGCTTGTTAAACTGAAATGGAGTGGAAAAAAAAGTATAAATTATTGATAGATTTCATTTAGTAAACGGACCTTGACCGTATGGAGTCAATATTTTTTTCTCAGATTTTGATCTAAACTGTGTGAAGCTGAAAGGATAAGAAATAAGTCTCATTCTGGCCTGATGTACAACTTGGGTGCTTTTGTATGAAAACATGTAATTAAGTATCCTCAAGAGAACAAAACACTTTACCCCCTACCCCTTTACCACCCAACAACAGATGGAAATTAAAGAAAATTTGCATAACCTTTCAAAGGTAATTTTAGACGCGTTCGAAATTTGCCTTTTAACTATTGAAAATAAGCCGCATTTATCGTAATCAAGTAGCTTCATCTTTAATATCATTGCATATTTGCTGACATATTTCATAACAGACACCTATTACAATTTATTTAGATGGGTCCGTACTTTTCAAATTTAGAAGCAATGGGCAGAACGTTGCGTATGTTGACTAAATTTCAGAACGATTTACGGTTATCTAACAACGTTTAAATTTAAAAGTGTCATTAACAATATTTTTTGTCACATCTTGCACATCATTAAGAAGAAAGCAATCGACCTCAATACTTCACGTTTTGTTCCAATCATAAAAGCATATTTCTTTGGTATTACCAGTGCCTTAGCAATGTATTGGTTGTGTCTATATTACTGGTCACACGTCATACACCTACTAGTTTTAGATTGCCTGAGTAAGTTGTTATATGTAAATACTTCTGTGTGTAGTTCAGTATTTCTTTATGTTGTTGTCACAACATATACGAGAGTATGTGAGAGTAGAAATACTATTGATATTATCGTCATGACAAATGTGAAAGTAGAGATATTTTTGTATGTTATTGTAACAACATAAATATGTGAGACTGATGCCAACTTTAATGATTTTTCATTTGCCGTTGAACTGAACTAGGAAATAAGGGCAAAGCAAGTTGACATACCGAGTCTGTAATTAAGTCATTATTGGAATTTGATATTGTATAACCTGTGTGCTCATGTTGCGTTTCATTATTATGTAAGTTTTCGTGCGAGGAGGTAGTACCTAGGCGTACAAGATATATTTATGATTACTTCCTGAAATGTGACTTAATTTGGCTATTAAATTAAAATTATTTTTATTTTGTTAGGTAAACAACACTTACCAATCCCTTCTTTTTTTCAATGAATTGCGTTGACGATCGACGAATTGAAAACATATTTATACTTGTCATAATTGCAATTTGTTTAATCGTGAGAGTGCAAGATGTGAGAAGTTTGTTTGGAAATTGGAACTACACTGTTAAAATGTGTTACGAATTATACCGTGATAGCATTTATTTTTATATTTGTTAAACATGTATTAAGAATAAATGCTGCCTTTCTGTGACATTTTCTTTCCAGTCATGTCCATAAGAAAAACACTTGTTTAATTATATGTAGACTCTTTTACTTTCACTGATGTATTTGTCACAAATTATGTATCATTACCCGAGGATAAACAACACATTAAAAAGCTCCTTAACGTAGCATTTGATCTTTATGCAGCTTTGTATAATTATTTCACTTTCAAATAGTCATTTTCCCGTAATAATTTACCCGGTCTGCGAGAACTATTTCCAGACAGGAAAATGTCACATAACAGCAGCATTGTAATTATTGTAATTTTCAGAAAAAAAACACGTTTTGTCATGTCGATTTCAAAGCAGCAATATTCAAGGCAAACCGCCCACAATGTTATAGGTTTGTTTGGTAATGTCCGTGATTCGACGTTTACTACATAGAGGTCTTGAAATAAAGGTATGTACAAAGAAAGTATTTATTTCAAGAGATACTGAATTTTGGAAAAGTTTGCTTCGAGTAACATTGTAAATAATAATAAATTATAAATATTTATCAATGGCTTGTAACTCAAATAGCATCTTGACAAATTGTCCCCCGATTCAAAATCACCCAGTTTACAACGAATGCACAAGAAACACGTTTTCCAATCTATATTTCCCGATACGTATCACTCTTGTTAGCCGGTTTGGAAGCGCGATGGTCTTAATGTGTGAGGAAACTGAAGTACAATGTACAAGGAGAATTCCCACGTGACAGGTTGCTGACTCCTGACCTTTCCCCGTCCGATTGGGTTATTGAACCCCGCCTTATTGAAAGCAGATTGTGCTATTATACATTATCAACCGCCTACGTAAATTCAGTTTTCGTTGGACAATTTTAAAATCGATTAGAAAGTTTAGCAGAAATGAAATAACCAAGCATCATCAAACAGTTCGATACAATAAAATAAATAAGCAGTAACTGTAAGAATATTAATAAAAACGAAACCACAACTACGAGAAGTTGTATTCACCATTCATTCACAGTAACAACTCTATATCAAAACTGTTTGCTTACCTTTGTACGATTTTCTTCTGTCCATGTTATGATAGGTCCAGTACGAAACCTATAGTATGTCAAATCTAGTCCTATCTCCTAACCAGTACGAATATGTCTTGTATTTAAGAAAAAAAGTAGATACCTTCCTGGTTGTGTCTATTTTTTGTGTGAATGGGTATCCTTTTAAGCTTATGAATTAGTTCCCAGTCACTTATTCTCTTAAATAGCGATAGCCATGGCCTATTTATTTCGTGAATGAGGAAGATATCTCGTTTCTGAAAAGAAATGTATATTTCTTTCGCACTTATCATAACAGTGTATTATCAAAGTGCATATGAATACTTTTGCGGTTCAAACAACTTTAGTTACAAGTCATTTCATTCGTGTGTTAATCAATGTCTCATAACTTCTTCATTTTTATATTTTACGGCGAATAGAAGTTTTCAAAATTACTCGTGTACGGCGAATAGTTCATATGGTATGCAGTATTCAAGTGAACATTTTGCCTAAATGTGACATATTTTGCTAAAGCTAAACTTAAAATAACGTTCCCCGATTACCGTAAATCTCCTACTGTGTAAAATGCATGCACCTTATCGTACGTAAGTTGTAGAACACCAAAGATTACAAGAGACAACAATGCACTCAATACAGTTGTACAGGTAAGTCAGATAACCACTAGTCCACCTTTGCTGAAGATGAAAAGGATAGGCCAAAATGATACTTGTGTATCTGTTTTTTAGCCCTCAAAATATTAGGGTTGCAAAATATTTTGTTTAAGTACCAATTATAAAACAAAGTTTCAGACCATAATTTAAAAGTGCCTATCTAAAGTTGAGGAAAATAAAGATAGGATAGACTTTGAAATCTTGAGTAGGAATGAAACAGACTTTTCCCATTGCCTGTTAAAGGTATACATATTCTACACTTTCAGCCGTCTGTATTGCCTTTACCACTTGCTGTTTACGGATAACTGTGAATAAATTGAGGATATGTCAACTTAACTATCGTGTATTTCTTTGCAAATCTATGTATTAGTGCAGATTTTCTCCACATCACCCTTAACATTTCTTGTGTAACCCCTCCCCTTGTATATTATAACAGGGAAAGAGTATGTCACCTTCTGCCTTAGTTCAAACTCTCCATCGTTATTGACAAGATCACAGCTAAGGTTCCAACACTCCATTGCTATTGTCAAGGTCACTGCTAAGGTTCCAACACTGATTAGATATTAATGCAGGGTGTATACCATTCAATTAGCTTTAGAACGAATGTCAATGTACTGTCGCGGTAAACTAACAGCAGTTTCTTTTGTTACAATGTATGACTTGAAACTTCGCAAAAAAAACTTTTGTCAATTTGATCAAATATTGGATAGATAGAAACAATTTTATGGTAACAAATCTCCAAGTATTGTATGATCTTCGTCAACCCATGATTGCCGGATTATGCGTAGTTTGTAAATACTCTCATCAAAGGCATAAACACTTGTTACATAACGTTGCCTACAACATAGACACTTATTAAGCTTATCTATATTTATAAATATCGGATGACTTAAACTGTTTTCATTCGCCCCATTGATTGTTGTAATAATAACATACTTACGGACTTTTGTGGAGGTTATATCTGAAATTAATTTGAACCCGAATACAAAATGTTGACAAAAGGAATTTGCTGTTCTTGCTGCATATTATAAATAGCGTTGGGGAATCTAATTCTCAATCACAAAATAAATAATTTCAATTGTAAGTGTAAACAGATTCTGTATTCATGAAACCGTTATCAAGCCCAAACTCTGTTCAATTTCTTGTTCTGTTGATTATTAATAAAACTATGATATTTTATCAACTGTTTTGGAATAATTTCGGAAGGACTTTAACCCCATCCTATTTTAAATGTTGATACTTGATTATCTGACCGTGTCAAATAACTTAAGTGAGTTACAAGAAAGTTAGTTTGAGCACAAAATAAATGCTTGAGCTTAAGTACGGCTTCGTGAATACGGGCCCTGGTCATTACCATAGCTGGATGTTGTAGAGCTACGTTGCGAACAATGAGTGTGGCCATGTATCCTCATTATCAGATTGCAAAGACGTTTTGTTAGTAAGGATCGTGCTGTGATCCTCTTTTCAGACGTTGAAAAATCAGATGACGTTTTAATACTTTAGACGTCAGGAAGGTTCATCAGCTGCTGACAGTTTCACTTTTAAATCGTTCCAACGTCGTAGTCTATTATGATGTAAAGTTAGCAGGCAAACGACCGTTGATGTAAATAACGTGGATTTAAGGGATTATTTTTAATTACAGTTTGTCACTACACCTTCTTACTAAATATACATTGTATATAGGCGTTATCAATGTATTTACGCACGGTTATGCATTAGTTGTACTGGACTGTACTCTAAGGAAACATTGTTCAGAATGTTATCATTTCTAAATTGTATTCCCTTCCTGCTTTTGGTACACATTCTCAATACTAATAGTGTTTTTAGTGTACAATGGAAGTATTGAGAAGAACTATAATTTCTATACAATTTGATAAGCACTTTGTTATTTTTTTTCGGTTTATGTCTGTAGAGTGAGTAAACCATACTTTTCTCAATATATATTGGAAAAGGAGGAGGAGATGAGGGGCTAGAGAAATATCAGTCATAGATAGTTAGATACGGGGCGAAGACGTTAAAATGATAGAGACCTATATTTTTAAAGTCAAAGTTTGCTGATATAAACGTACATGATCCAGGAAGTTGGTAAAGGTGTACCATAAATCGATAGTTAGTCAAATTACTCAATGCAGCTACTTTTCAAGGGACGATACCATCTGATATTCTGTCTAAATGAATCCGTATACCTGATCACTGTTGGAAGAAAAAATGAACTCTCGTGGTAAGTACAGCTTTGTTGATATTTTTTCAGAATGCTGGTATATCATTTTGTTCTCTCTGCTTAAAAAAGATGCTGGAAATGTGTTTATCTATTCAAATGAATAAGTGATGTTTACCTAATCAAAAGTGAAATAGCTCCAAATGTTTTATATATACTTATAATCTATTTTCATATTTATTATGAGTAAATCACTCATTGTGATACACCTTACTGCACATTTTACCTTTACGTATTACGTATTACTCAGTATAACATACAAGTTGGCATACATCTGCCATCAACTTAAAATCATACAATGTAAATTAGAAACTTTATTTACTTTACAATAATAATAAAACAAGGTATTTCAACCCACAGAAACCACTTATGTATGGAGGAAACATGAGTAGCAGGAGAAAACCCCACGTTTTCGCGAATGGGACTCCATACTTTTTCATGTTCGATCTGCAAATGTACGTATACCCTCTGTTTTAACAAACCTTTAGTCCCTTTTGCCCAAAGATGCCCCAGGCCAAATTTTGATAAAATCCCTCCAATGGTACAGAAGAAAAGCATTAAAGATTGAAACTTCGATTTCCCCTATTGAGCCCCCTCCCACTGTAACCAGGCAGGCCACACCCTCCGTTTATAAAAAATGTGTTAAAGTGTTACTACTATATCTCCAACAAGATACTCTCAACCACACCTTTCATTTATTACATAAATTATTATATCATGTGAGGCCTTGGTTATTCGCTGATTGTTATCTGATTTGCTTTAGACTATCAATATTTTTTTTTGTGGCGTGCCGATGATATCATGTATTGTGTAAAACAAAATGGATGCACACATTTTTAAAGGGTCAATGTGAAAATGTCCAACTTGTTTGTCGGTTTTTAGAAGTACAACCGACCATGCGAGTAACATGAATTTTCTCTTTGTCCGATTTTAACATAAAAAAAATACAACCATTAGTTTCAAAAATTGATATTAAAGTAACCAAATATGGTATTGAGAGGTCCCGTAAGTAAAATTGAAATTAAATACCTCGAAACATTAAGACAACCAGACGTACCATTGTCAATAGAATTAGAGGTCGAGCAATAATGTGTTTGGTCGATAAAGACAAGTAGGATAGGTATATCAGGCTTTAGACTTAGCATCCTAATGACAAATTAGTTATAACATACATAAAGCATGCCCTATACAAACGCAGGACGGATTATAAATTGATATACAAACATTAAATGACCTATGTAATAAACTTTTATTTTAAGCAACACAAATATGTCTTGTCAAGACGCACCAAAAACGAGTCATGCTTTAATTAAAATACTTTAACACGTGTGATTTTATCTTTATTTTTTATAAAATCCTATAAGATTTTCCAGGTCGGCTTCAGGTATATTGGCTCCCCGATATAACATTGGCCTCTGACACGTTTATTAGCATGCGTGTGCGTTATGTATCAGTTACACTTTGAAATGGTCATGGTTCATGTTCCCATCGTTATGCAAACCACTCCTCGTCATGATCCTCGAAGTTCCAACAACAATGTCTATGCAAACATTGGTGTAGTTGACGTCGCAGTCAGAAGAATGCGGAAGATGTCTCACTTTTACCAAACTTCATCGTCACACCTATCTAGTTTAACTCGCATGTCTAATATTGATCAACATATTATAAGTGACTCCTATTGAAAGTAACCATGGGACCTTTAACGCGTTGATGGGTGGTACTTAATACTGAAATTGAATGATGACCGTAAGCTTAGATTTGATAATGGGCAATTTATTAATAATACAATCGACCCACATACTTTTAAAAACAATTGCGCATGTTGGCTAAATTGAACGATTTACGGTTACCTAACAACATCACGCAATCAAGTGGCATTACTTATTCATTTTGTCACATCTTGAACATCATTAAGAAGAAAGCAATCTACCCCAATACTGCAAAAATAATTGGTTTCCCAATCATTAAAACATGTTTCTTTGGTATTACCAGTGCCTTAACAATGTATTGGTTTTGTCTGTATTACTGGTCACACGTCATACACCTACTAGTTCTAGATTGTCTGAGTAAGTTGTTATATGTAAATACTTCTGTGTGTAGTTCGGTATTTCTTTAAATTATTGTTACAACTTATACGAGAAAGTCGATTTACTCTTGATAATATTGTAACACCATATATGAGAGTAGAAATACTTTTTTATATTATCGTCATGACAAATGTGGAAGTAGAGATACTTTTGTATATTAATGTAACAACATAT